CCCCGCCGCCGCTGCCACTGGCGCTGCTCCCCGAGACCGCGTCGGGGCTGGCGGTCCTGGCGCCTATCCCTATGGCCAGGGCTCTCCTCTTTACGGGCCGTACGCCGGAGCCGCAGCGGCCGGATCTTGCGGAGGATTGGGAGGCCTCGGGATGCCCGGTTCCGGCTTCCGCGCCCACGTCTACCTGTGCAACCGGCCCCTATGGCTCAAATTCCACCGTCACCAAACTGAGATGATCATCACCAAACAGGGCAGGTGAGCACAGTGTAGAGAGGCCCCTGGGCGCCGGGTTGAGGAAGTTATGCCCGCTCTCTGCGTTCTATGCTTGGAGTGTTTAAATGCACGCCGTAAAGGGGACACCGCATCTCCAAAGTCGCGCCCCTTTCCATTCGCACGCACACCTGTGGCTTGGGCCGGGTGCCAAAGTTACTCTCCCCTCTAATCACCCTCCGGGATTGACAGGGAGGAGGCGGAGATGGAAATTTGGGAATGGACCCTTGAGGGACCTACAGGAACCACTGGCTCCTGGGTTTGCAGTTTGCAGTTTCCAACTTGCGGGTGAGGACCCGAGGGTGGGGGGAGAGGGTTGGAGCTGAGCTGCGGCCTGAGCGCAAGTATTTGAAATGCAGTTGTTTCAAACTCCATGCTCTTTGTTGGGCGCTTCTGTGAGAAGAACAGAAGAAAGAAGTTGAGTTTGAGCTGGGTAGAATTTTTTGACGCCAGATGATTGGGGGGTTTGCGGGGAAGGTACAAGAAAATTCTGGTACACCTTCGAACTGCCAACAGCTACTTTTGGAGGAACGGAGGAATGGGTGCTGGGAGACAGGAACTCAAAACTCTGTGTGTGTGTGTGTGTGTGTGTTGTTGTGTAAATGGACAAGCGCCTGCTTAATGTTTTGTGTTACCTGTGTCTTTAAAAATAATTTTTTTGATATCCCAGTGAGAAAACGAGTAAGATACTGAAAGACCGGGGAGTTTGAGTAGATGGAGGTCTCAGAAGCATATGAATTAGGGAAAATACTAATTTGGAGGCTGTTTCAAAAATTGTTAATTCAAAACCCTTTTCGTAGTTTCCGGCCATAGCACCTATTCGTTGTTGTTGTTGTTGTTTTGTTTATTGCAGTCTTCTATTGTGTGTCCAGGGGTGGCAGGGCGTGTCCTGAACGTTCCTACTTAAATCATTTCCTCTGGTTCTGTTCTTGGCACACAGGCGCATGTTTCCTTTCTTGAGCTTCAACATAAACGGACTCAATCCCACCGCCCACTACAACGTGTTCGTGGAGGTGGTTCTGGCCGACCCTAACCACTGGCGCTTCCAAGGGGGCAAGTGGGTGACCTGTGGCAAAGCCGACAATAACATGCAGGGTGAGGAGAGAGGAGGCCTGGGCCGGGAAGGAATCAGAGCCCCAGTCCTGGACCAGTCACATTTCAATAACCAAGCACCTTACCCCGAGCCTGGGGCCTGGAGATGTTAGCATGAGTCGCCTTGTGTTGACGAAGAGAAATTTGCTGCGTCGTTTTTCTTGCTTCCTATTATACATCAAACCTTGACCCTACCGGGCTGTGTTTGAGAAATGACTAGTCCAATGAGGTTCTGAGTTTGGGGGGAAAGCTCCTGGTGTTTTCGTATTCTCTTGAGAAAGCCGAGGCCTCCTTTAACTTAACCTATGAAAGTAAATATTCAATGAGGCACATCCCCTCCGCTTTTGAAGACTTTGGATTAACATTCGGGAGCCATCTCTGTTTTCAATTTGGAGAGGCCGGTAATAGCAGTGCCTTGATTAAGAAAGGCTGGAAGCACCCTGGCCCTGGAGGGGGTGCCTGGAGTCCCGCTGTGATCCAGTGATTTCTGGAAGCAGGTCTCAGACCTGCTGCTGCAAACCCAGGCCTAACTAACAAACAGACTCCTGTTTGTGTACCTGCTTATGTTTCCTTTCGTTTTTCCTCTTAGGCAACAAAATGTACGTTCACCCGGAATCTCCTAACACTGGTTCCCACTGGATGAGGCAGGAGATTTCCTTTGGAAAGTTAAAACTCACTAATAACAAAGGAGCAAGCAGCAACAATACACAGGTAGAGACAGGAAGAGTGGGAGTCTTCCGCCTGGGGCCCCTTGAAGAGAGCCATACTTTTGTTACTGTGCTTAATTAAGTGTTTGCAGTTGTGGCTCCGGCTCATTTTTAATAAATTTATTTGCCTTTGTTACTTTATACTTTCTTACTAGTAGGCATAGAAAAATAATTTGGGGGGGGTCTTGGAACCAAGAGGAAAGAGTGTTTATTAAATACACATAAAGTCAGTTTTTGTTTCGAGTGGGTTTTTTGTTTGTTTGTTTTTTGTTTATTTTGGGGAGTGGGACCTGTATATGTAGCCCAGGCTAGCCTTGAACTACTGATCCTCCTACCTCCCAGGTCAGGTGTTGGGATTATCAGTGTATCCCATCACTCCAGTTTCAGAATTGGAACTTGAAGTTGCAAAAGTGTTAATGCCAAGAATCTTAAAAATGATAACAAAAAAACTCAGCTCTATTTCAAAAAGCAGAGGAGGACCTTGCTATTCACTGTTGTGAAAAAACACGTCCTTTGAGGTTTTCCCGCATATAACAAAAAAGGGGGGTGGGGAGTCTGCTAATGACGATTTCGGTAGAGGGCAAGCAGAAGTCCCATTTCACAATACACAGTTTGTTAAAATCGGCTTTTTAGACCTTTGAAAGTCTCTTTGGCTCCGTTTCCAGATGATAGTGCTGCAGTCTTTGCACAAATACCAACCACGACTGCACATTGTGGAGGTGACGGAGGATGGCGTAGAAGATCTGAATGAGCCTTCCAAGACCCAGACCTTCACCTTCTCAGAAACACAGTTCATTGCCGTGACTGCCTACCAAAACACCGATGTGAGTGTCCCGGGCTTGGCAGGAGCCTCTCCAGCCAGGGCTAGGCAGATAAAGCCCTCGGTTACTACCTTCCTTCTCCTCTCTCTAGATTACGCAGCTAAAGATTGACCACAACCCCTTCGCCAAAGGCTTCCGGGACAACTACGATTCGTAAGTACTGCTCTCCCCTGTGCTCACAAGGTCATCGCCTTTTAAAAGACAGACAGTCTCACATCCCAGGCTGCCTGCAACTTGCTGAGGAGTTAAGATGAATTTGAACCTATGATGGTCTTGCCTCCATCTCCCTGGTGCCGAGCTCACAAGCACAGGCTACCACGCCCAGGCTCCGAGTGCGCTAGACACCATTCTCTCAATCGAGCTTCATCTTCAGGCCCATTTCCTGCGTCATCTGTGAGCAGGAAATGACTCATCATTTTCCTGAGGACATATTTAGTGCGAAATTTTATAGTTGGAATTTTTTTTTTTACCTATTTTCATGTGTGTTTTTGCTGATATACACAAACACACACACAGCACATACTGGGTATTAAACTCAGGTCTTTGTACATGCAAGGTAAGCATTCTACCATTGAGCTATATCCCCAGACCTATTTTTGCATATATTGGCCTTAAGCAATCTTGCTTTACTTATTTGTGTCCATTTTTTAATTTGATCCAACTATTTTTTTAAAGCATTATTTCTAATGAAGTGTGTTTGTGTCTGTGTGTGAGCATGTACTCATGAATTGGGGGCCAGCAGGCCAAAAGTGTCAGATCCCATAGAGCTGGAGTTACAGGTGGTTGTCAGCCCCTTGATGTGTGTGCTTCCAACCAAACTCAGCCTTCTGAAGAAGCCGTTCTTGACCCTTCAACTCCTGATCCAACTTCGAAAATCCTCCCTAGCAGAATTCCCCCCTCTTGTGTTCTATGAGGAAAAGTCTGGAAGGTCGCGGTTTTCACCACACCGAATAGCAAGGCCCTGCATTTGAAATAGCATTGAGTCGTGGGTCATTGCCTCATGGCTTCCTGTCCATCACATTGACAAGAGGGGGTGTACGATCGAGCACTTGTAAAACTAGATTTCCTCTATTTGTTTATCTGGCGGTAGAGACTCATGTAGCTCAGGCTGGCCTCAAACCCAAACTTGCTGTGTAGCTTCCATAGCCTTTTACTTCGGACTTCCTGTGCTGGGACTGCAGGCCTGGCACTAGCCCTGGAGTGTGTAGATCTGGCGCCGGAGCCCAGGCCTTCCTGTTGGCAAGGCCAGCCCTCTACAAGAGGATCTCTAGCCACACATCTTAATTTCCCATAGCAAACACCTGACCCCGAGGAGGAAATTTCCTGTTAGGGAGTGGGAGATCCACTGTAGTCTCTTGTGGAACACACCAGCCCGCTCAGCTCATGCAGCTGAGAGAGCCAGGCTCTAGTTTCTGGGAGATTGTTTGGGGATAACACAAGGGCTGTTTTTTTTTTTTTTTTAAGTGTCTCTCTTTGTATTGTAGCATGTACACCGCTTCAGAAAATGACAGGTTAACTCCATCTCCCACGGATTCTCCTAGATCCCATCAGATTGTCCCTGGAGGTCGGTACGGCGTTCAAAACTTCTTCCCGGAGCCCTTTGTCAACACGTTACCTCAAGCCCGATATTATAACGGTGAGAGAACCGTTCCACAGACCAACGGCCTCCTTTCACCCCAACAGAGCGAAGAGGTGACCAACCCTCCCCAGCGGTGGCTTGTCACACCTGTCCAGCAACCTGTGACCAACAAGCTAGACATCAGTTCCTATGAGTCTGAATACACTTCCAGTACCTTGCTCCCATATGGTATTAAGTCCTTGCCTCTCCAGACATCTCATGCCCTGGGGTATTACCCTGACCCAACCTTCCCTGCAATGGCAGGGTGGGGAGGCCGAGGCGCTTATCAGAGGAAGATGGCAGCTGGCCTACCATGGACATCCAGAATGAGCCCCCCTGTGTTCCCAGAAGACCCGCTAGCCAAGGAAAAAGTCAAAGAAGAAATTGGCTCCTCCTGGATAGAAACCCCCCCTTCCATCAAGTCTCTGGACTCCAACGATTCGGGGGTGTACAGCAGCGCTTGCAAGAGGAAGCGCTTGTCTCCTACCACTTCCAGCAATGGAAACTCGCCCCCTGTAAAGTGTGAGGACGTGAACCCTGAAGAGTACAGTAAAGACGCCTCCAAAGGCATGGGGGCATATTACGCTTTCTACACAACTCCCTAAAGAGCGATTTTAACCCCCAGTGTTTCCCAGGGGGACCTGGTGGAGTTTCTGTTGTCCTTTTCTTTACCTAGGTTACCAAAAAGGCTTTTCCCCTCCACCTTTGCCGTCTCCTGTTTTGTGCAATTCTCTGAGAGAAGGTGCCAAAGCTTTGTCATGACTGCAGGTAACAAACTGAAGCAAACCTAGCATTTCTTTTTTTTTCTTAACCCTTTGTAAAATAAAGTTAATGGAGGACTCGAAAGTGTTTTAAAATTCAGAGGTTGTTCAAAGTGCTGGATTTATTTATGGGAAACAAACATCCAAGAAAAGGCTGTGAAATGCAGTGCCAGGTGCTATCCAGTGAGTCTCAAAAGCAAAAGGCAAGCAAAAGTCTTTAGCTCTCATTTCTACTTGTAAATCTTTAAGCAAACAGCAGCCCAGAGTGTTAAGGTATTTTTGCTTCAGGAAGAGAAGGGCTGAGCCTTGAGTTTCAAGTGGGCTCTTCATGACTGTCTTCTGCCAGTGGCTGGAGAGTCTGGGCTTGAGAGTCAAGGGAGAAAAAACAAAGAGCAAAACTAACAGGAAAGTGGCTAACTAGTCTTGGCTACCTGTAGTTCCTTACAGGATTTCGGGATAAACCATTTGCCATAGGGATGGCCCTGTGTTGCTGGGATGACCCGTAGAAACCAGAGGGATCAGAGAGAAAGGGAGAATTTAATTGTACAGTTGTGTGTTTAGGCACCGTAGAGTACTCTGGAATATATTGTACAAATTCAGCTGCCTAGGTATCAAAGATAAACTAATGTAAAACTGGTGCTTAGGCTTTGTAAAGAATTTGTAGAAACACAGCTGCAGGGTTGAGCGGAGCCTCGGTAGCTTGGCTATTCCGTCCACTTAGTTATGTACTTACTCAGCAGCCTCTGTACTCACTTCAACCACACTTTAGAAAAAAAAAACCTGTTTAATCCTCTTTCCTTGGTCATCCCTACTTTGCCCTTCAGTAAATGTGAAGAAATTACAGTCTGATGCCACAGTTCCTATAGGCTTTTTAGAGACTCTGAATTTTTATGTACAGTTGTAAGTCATTTTTAATAAATGTGGTTCAATGAGGGAACGGATACAGCTCTGTCTTCTGTGCTATGGATTTTATGTATCTAATTTTGTTTCCTTCTGCCCTTTTTCAGAGTGAACAGTCTCTTACACATTACACATACACACAAAACTAGTGTCTTTTAACTAGATACTGTGGTCCTGAGGAGTGGGCAGGAGGGGTGCTTCTTTGTATCCCCCCCCACACACACACTCCAAAGATAAATGGGATTTACTTCCTCGCCCCACTAGGAAGTGTGGACAATGGGTGTTGGCTGGGGAGGGGGTGGATCGGGGAGGGAGTGTTTGCCCTGGAGATGTAAGATTGCACTCTGCTGGCTTAATCCTAACTCCCCACCCTCCGCCCCTGACCTTAGTCATTTAGTTCTTTCCTGGGTTTACTTTAGGCTACGGGTTCCTAGACCCACACAAGCTCCCTGGGAACCCCCGCGGCCATTCGAGCGACTACGACTTCCGGGTCCTTTAGCACCGCAGGGCGCAATGTTCGCTCACCCCAAGCCTTGCGCCCATCTGCGGTTTTCCGCGGCTGGTGCAGCTGTTGTCCTCGGTTGCCTTACCCTCAGCTAAATTTCATCCTCAACTCAGGGCTGTACGCAGGCTAGCATTGGGTGCGGCGAACACAGAGTGTTCCACTTGTCTCGTGCTCTGCGGTTCTGCAAACAGCATCTGGACAGCGGCGCATCTCCTCGCTCGTAGCTCCGCTTTAGTTAGGAACTCCGGATGACCAAGCCCCCCCCCATCCCCAGGCCCTCGCTGAACCCTAGATGTGCAGCAGACCAGGCCGTTAGGAAGAGAGGGCCCTCCCCGCCCCCTGCCAGACGTCCCACCGGGTTATCTGCAGACGGCTTAAAACCCAGCTTGCAAACCCTTGGAGCCCCCTTCTCACCCTGGGGTAAAGGTCTGGCTGGGAGGGTCATTCTAACTGCAGAGCGCGGAAATGCAGCTGCTAAGAGGATTAGCTGTGAGGAGGCAAGCAATCAGTCGGACCCTCCTCCCCTTCTGCGCCCAATTAAGGCGGCAAGAAGATGTACCTGACCTGTGGGTCTCTCATGTCCTCCCAACTTCTGGGGCCAGAGCCCTCCCTGCACCGCCATGAACTTGGGGACCTGCTAGCTCCGCATTCCCAAGACTGCCTGCTCAAGACTCTTTACCAGTGTCGCCCCGACTGTTACCGGAGTGTCAGGTGTGTGTATGTGTGTACTTTCTGGAGATTTTTTCTTAAATGTATCTCTATGGGCAGCAGATATGAGAGAGAGAGAGAGAGAGAGAGAGAGAGAGAGAGAGAGAGAGAGAGAGAGAGAGAGAGTCTCATAGTTGGCCCAACTTAGTCAGAACCAACGTCCAAGGGTTGGGTATCCGGAAGAATATCAAACGATGCTCTGCCGTTTCTGTCCTCTAGAAAAACCCGAAAATGCTAATCACACGCCGGGATAAAGAGACCTCTGGCCCTAGTCTATTTCAAGTCTTGTATATTTTCGCACCGTACAGTAAAAAGAATCTAGTACTTGTGAAAAGTCCCTCACAGTGTTTAATAGAAACGTAAATGGCTGAGTGGCCCCAATTAACACCTTGTGATAAGGCATTCCTAAGATGGAGTGTCAGACACCAAATTGTGAAGAGATGTATCTAATTAATCCTCCTAGGATGACACCGATAAACAAGACTCCATTTAAATAAAGATCAAGGGCTAGGAGCAGGGTCGGTTTGTTTACATTCCCAACCCGGGCCCTGCGCACCTTTGCGCTGGCGCAGACCGTTCCCCTCGCAAGGCGGAGACATAGGCGTAGAGGGGTCTGCTGACTCGCCCAAGTTCTCTTGACCTCAGCTCTTGCCCCAAACAAAACCGCTTAAACAAACTACAACGAAAGAGGAAAAATCGTCACAAAAGCAAAAAACGATTCGTGGTTGGAAATATCTCTTCATCACCAAACAGTCTGGTTTTCGAGATTAAAAAGGATAAAAAGCAAGCCAACAATCCCCGTATTAAATAGCTTTTTGCTTTGGAGGAAATTTGGAACAGGACCTCCCTCCGTCCAGGTGCGGGTTCCTTCTCAGTGGGTGCAGTTTTTCTCTACTGTGGTGCGAAAGCCAAGAATTGCTGGGATGGGGGGGGGGGGGGAGCTGCCCTGAGCGTGGTAGGGAACTCCAATGCCTGGAAGGAAAACTGGGAAAGGCAGCAAAAACCCGAAAAGAATTTAGGGGCCGAGGGGAAAGCTGTTCCTTAGTTGGTCTTCGTCTTGACTGGTGTTAAGGCTGCGGTTAAAGCCGGGTTACTGCTGTAATTTATGCCTCAAATCCCAAGGGATGCCGAGGCCCCGAATTTCCTGTTCGTCCCCAGTTTCCCTCCTTTCTAATTAAGCTTAAAGCCCAAATAAAGAAGGCAAGCTCTCGGGCTTTCTCAAATTGGGGTGGGGGTGGGGTTTGAGAGAAGAGATCAGAGACAGAAGAGATGGAATTGTGGGGGGGGGGGGGGGGGGGGAGATGAGTCCCTGCATGTGTCATGGAAATGCTGGCGAATGAAAACATTCCCGATATTCTGCCACCGGTAGGGACAAGAAAGCCCTGGCATTTTACGCGTTTGCACGTTTTCTTCCTGCTACTCCCCGGGACGAGTCACCAACTGTCCTCCACTCCGGCTGCGCCCGGATTTCAAAAATTACGCTTTCATACGGTAAAAATTTCTGAACAACCAGGGGACTTTTAAAATAGCAATTTAAAGAGGAGGAAGGGAAGGAGGGAGAGAAGAAGGGAAAGAAGGAAGAAGAAAAAGAAGAGGAGGAGGAGGAAGAGAAAGAAACGGGGAAAAAAATCCAACCTGTGTTGTTTGCATCCTAAGGCACCCTTCCGTAAGCCCATGACCACCCCCACCCCGAGGCCTCAAGTTTGGATTTTCAGACAAATTCGGCAGGTCAGCCTTGGGAGGATTCCAAGTCAAGAGACCGTTCCACCTGCTGCGGTCTGTGCGGGTAGCCGGATCCCTTCCCGCCTGCGCAGAGGCCTGCACCGCGCTCTCCGGGCTTGCACCTCGGCTCGCCTAAGCGAACCTCGGATGGGCTTCATTTCCCCACCGCTGAAGCTGGGGCGATTCCAGTCGGCAAGTGTGAAGTGGCGGGAACAGTCTCTTCACTTTGCTCTCTCCTTTTCTTTCTTTCGTTTTTTTCTTTCTTTCTATCTTTCTTTTTATTTTATTTTATTTTATTTTGGGGTCTTATTTTTTTGTGTTTGAGACAGGGCCTCAAGCAGCCCAGGTTACTCTTTAACTCAGCTGTGTAGCTGAGGATGACTTTGAACTCCTGATCGTCCTGCTTCTCCTGTCTCTCAGGTTTGGAGACAGGGTCTCACACTAGAAAACCGGCTGGCCTCAAACTCAGGGTAATCCTCCTGCCTCATTTCTCGAATGCTGGTGAGCCACAGGACTGAGCAATCTGGCGGGACACAACCCTTCGTCCTGGTCATCCTATGCATAGAGCGCGCACATGCAGCATTCAAAGGGAAGGAGTTGTCTCCCAGAGTGTTCCGCGTCAGATGGTGCTCTGCCGCGGTGTCCGCCCAGATCTCTCCTTATTTTAGGCAGAACCCTCACCTCCACGCCTTTCAATCACTCGTGCGTTTACAAAACCGGGTGTCCGGGTGTGGCTGACTTTGCCAAGCGCGCGGCCTGGGCTGCTCGGCTTCCAGCCGCGGGTGCCCTCCGCCATCTGGTGGCCGTCGCGAGTAACGCTCTCCCCGTGGAACAGGACTTCTTCCTGCTGGCCCAGGTCTGGGTCTGCTTCTCTCTCTATGTCGTTAAGCAGCACGAGTGTAAGGTGTCTTTGTTCATCTCCACCTTTCAGTAGCTGCTTGGTGTAGAAGGAGCACAGGACTTTGACTCTGAGACCGGCTTTCCTGGCTGCACTCTCCGTTTCCTCACCTACAGACCCAAGTGAGGAGAAAAAAGAAGAGATTATAAAACTAACTGTTTTATAAAATGGTATTGTTAATTATTAGCCTTTTGGGATTTTTTTTAGTTAGTTTTTTTTTTGTTATGATTTTTTTGAGACAGGGCTTCTTGTGTAGTCCTGGCTCTCCTGGAACTCCTCTGTAGACCAGGCTGACCTTGAACTCAGTGATTGCCCCTGCCTCTGCTTCCTGAATGCTGGGATCAAAGGCCAGGATTCATGCCCGGCTTTAATGACTAGTTTTATTTATAGCAGAAGTCATTACTGCAGGTTAACTGTAATGGGTTTCACTGTGACATTTCCATACATACGTCATATTCTAGGCTTTGGTCATACCCATGCTCCCACCCACACTTCCGTCCTCTCTCCTGCTCACACACAGTTCTTTCCCAAAGAACCCCTGGCCTGTCTTCAAGTCATTTTGCTTTGTTTTTATTCCTAGCTTCTGCATGTGAGAAAAAAACGAAAGAACATGTACCGTTTGTCTTTCTGTTTCTGGTTTATTTTCTTTCTTACAGCGACCTCTAGGCCCACCACATTCCTGTAAAGGGCATGCTTCCTTCTTCATGACTGAACAGTTCCTCACCGTGTGAACACACCTGTCCAGGGGCACCCAGGCTGACACCAGGACGCGACCACTGTGAAGAGAGCAGCAACAGATGGAGATAGATAGACGGGTGTCTCTATTTTGAAAGAACAGATTATTTTTAGTTTTGTGTTTATATGTGTTTGCCTACATATACATACATGTACTGTGCATGCCCGTTGGCAACAGAGGCCAGAAGATGGTGTCAGATCCCTGGGAGCTGGAGTGACAAGTTGGTTGTGAGCCACCTGATGTGGCTTCTGGGAACTGTCACTGAGTAGTTAGTTGCTCCAGCTCCCCAGCCAATGTAACTTTTTATGAATGTAAGAGCACACACCATCAGGGGCCTTCAGGGTCTCCCTGCTTCAGAACTACTGTGATGGACATTAGAGAAGAATCCCATCCCGGTGCTTGAAAGCCTTGCTACCTCTCCACCCCCCACTTTAATGCATGCCTGTCACCAGAGGAGTCTCCACCTGCCTAT